TGCCCGTGATGGCTCGTGGGAAGGCTCATAGAAAGTTCCTGTCGTGGATACATCTTGGAACGGGACTTGCCATCATCTTCCCCAGAATAGAACGTACAGTCATTATTACTGCATTTGGACTGAAAATTGCTCCAAATACAGGCGTAATGACGGTGCGTTCTATTTGGGAAAGAAGGTAGGTAGTTGAATGGTGATCGTAGTGGTTGAGGGGCTGGGGTATAGACTCGTGGGTGGCATGAAAGCTGTGTATCTTTTTTCAAGTTTTTTGAGGGGGCGCTGATTTTTTTTATTTTTTATTTTTAACCAAGCACTTTATTAAAAATCATTCAAAGAGGCCGGGGATCCTCACAATTCAACCCAGATGAACTTACTGACAGCAACAGCCAGCTTAGCTTAGAGTCCTTAGACTTCAGAGGGATACTTTAACCTAGGAACAGTTCCGGTCCCAAGGACCTCTGTCCCTTTTTTTTTCTTTTTTTTTTTTCCCAGTGCCCAAGGCTCAAATTACAAATTGAATACAAAGCAAACACACGCCTCTTCCCTGACATTCCCACCCTGAGCTATATAACAACCATTGCCTCCAGGGCCAGCAAAACCAAACAATCCACAAGAACAAAAAATTAAATTAAAAGTAAACAAAACAACCCCCCCCCCCCACCTCCTAGCTCTATCTCCTCCACCTGTGCCTTACCACACTACCTTCCCTCTATATCCTAATCCGTAATGTGCCGTCTTATTTCGACGGTTCATCATTCTAGCACTTCCTCCGCCTACATTCCCTCTGCCTGTCTGCAGCGACTGTTCCAAGTCCTGCTGACCGAGTGCTCTGGTCCTTATCTATCTATTCTATCTTGCTCTACTCTTTTGCAAACCAGTCACCTAGTACCAATCTCCCAGATTGTATCTTAGCCATCCTGCCGCCTGTTCCCCACGTGTTTTCAAACCATTTAATGATTTTAATCCCTGCTTCTTTGTTCCTTGCCTTACTAACTTTCCTTCAAAGATTTTTTTCGGAAAAAAAAAAAAAAAAAAAAAAAAAAAACTTTCCTTCTCCAATCCGCCAGTATTGACCTTCTCAGTAGTTGAGTGAACGTAGGAAGGGAGCTGAGATTTGCAATGGCCACACGTGATCATTGCGTCGTGAATTTGAAAAAAGAAATAGTGCTCAGGTGTCAGATGTCAGGGGAAGAAGGTCAGAGTGTGTTGCTACCATCAGAAGACGATGAGTGTCGTGTCTACCGACGACCATGACCGGCCGGCTAGCTCTGATATACTGGATGAATACACATACAGCACTGGTGAGGTCTGGTCTGTGGGATCTCAAGGTGAGGGGAATGGAGAGGGGACATTCGAGCAGTGTATCGGGCGCTGCTGGCAGTGTACCTCTTCTGTTGTTCGTCCCGGTCCTTCCATGTGATGTTTGCATGGTGGTCTTGTTCACAAACTTTTCTGGAGGCGATTGACCCATATTTCTAGAAACAGGTTTTTCACTAGCTCGCACGGACTGTCCGCATGGAAGGAAGTTGTACATGCCTTGATAAATAGTTTGTCAGGCACTGCACCCCTCAATGACTGCACGTCAGACATCCCGGGGCAAGGTCCCACTTGCACGGATTAGGAGATTTCGTCCGTCGATCTCGGCTATCTACGGTCTCTATCTCTTAATTCGTGCAAGTGGGACCTAGCCCCTGGCTTGGGATGATGACATGCTCCGAGCCGGAACTTTGTGGCGACGCCAAGGGTGGAGGCATTGAATGCAAGCTGAAAGTGAGCTTGGTTGATGGGTTTTTTTTTTTTTTTTTTTTTTTTTATTGGGGTGATCACAACTGTCTATATTCTTCTCTCAACTTTTTTTTTTTTTACCTTCCACTACCTACTCCTAAGACTATCTAGAGGGGACCCCTGCAAGCGCAGTTTTCCTCTCTCTGTGAAGGGGAGATTTCATGTTGCCCCTTGCCCCGTATAGGGTTGGGGCCGCCAGTGGGGGTCTGGCTAACACAAAGACCGAGATCTGCCAGTAGCTGTGCCTCCCTTTCTCATCGTCCCCCACCCTTCATCGAGTAGCAGCAGAGGCTATGGCCAACACTCTCCCACACACCACACACAACCCACTCGCGCTCACAC